AGAAACTGGAGTGCAGTCTTACGACTAAGGACATCTGACTATGCTGAGAGTTCAAACAGTTCCACATGAAGCAAATGACCACCGTTGCCAATTTTCTTTATCATTTATGTATGGATTGAAACGCAAAATTCCATAAGTTTCTAAAATTATAACATTCGTAGAAAAGCCTGTACTAAGCAAGTAAAATTTTTCAACTCTTTATTCTTCAAATGCACAGAATATATTACAGTATGAAGGAGAAAAAAATAGAAAAAAACATACAAGCAATTCAATGTACATTCGAAATACCGTACCAGCACTGTTTACCCGGACAACCGTTACAAAGATAGTATACAACCGGTGAAGAATCCTTCTCAATCAATTTTACCTGCCCTTTTCTTGCACGAATCTTTGTACCGCAATTTGGACAAAACCGAAATAATGATAACAGACGTTTTCCTTTGATAGTAAAATCCTTCTTTAACAATTCTGGATCCGTTTCATCAAGTTTTTCAACAGTTTCCTGATTAGCTGATGAGCTATCAGTAGAATGATCTGGTCCCACCTGAAAAAAAAACTTCATTTCAGAAAGGGCTATCGATGATTCCTGCAAAACTCACAACAATTAATTCAGAACTCTTCGACTTCCCACACAATAAGGCGACGGGTTTGATGTCCATCTCTTCTTTTATAGATTCTTTCACATCAGCATCATCCTCTTGATCACCTGTGGCTGCACGTATCCCGTCTACTTGGTATCGAGATAGGCAAAAGTTTAAGAATTCGCTAACTTTCCTCCCTGTGATCGTCAAGCGTGCCTGAATTTCTTGTATTAGTTCATAACTTTAAACTACATGTTCGCAGAAGTAAGGATTAAAAAAAATTGGAAATCTTTGACTATGTGGTGGTCAAAAGCCGATGCAATCATTTACTTTTTTCCACATCTTTCTTTTTAAGTTTACTGTATTTTGAACCAAAATGAGCATCTACACATTCTCCCTTGTACTGTGTGCCATTGTAAGATGCCACAACAACAAAAACCACAATTTGCAGATTTCTGATTTTCCGCTGTTTTTTAAATTGGCTCATCCAAAAGAGACAAACCGA